CGTATCTAAATATATCGTAAAAAGAGGATTTTATATATCTAATTATAAGTTTAATTGGCAAGGATTTATATAATTGCGCAATTGCGTAACCATCGAATTCAACTAACTGTGACTTTAGTTTATATGTTATAGTTATGTAATTATCGCGTCACACCGAAATTGACAAATCCATGCCAGCGACGTATTGGCACTATTAGGATTGCCAGCAATATTGGATTCCGGTAAAGGCAATCTAATAACGTTGTACAGGTTTAACCGTGCATGTAACGTAATACTACTGTAAAGATATCCTATTGAGATGATTTAGAATTTAATGTCTTTAGTTTGAAAGAGTTCGTATTCAATCGGAGAAATCACAATGCAACATGTTCCTTTTAGTATAATGTATGTAGAAGAATGATGCGTATAATTGGATAATTTCTACTCGCAATTACATTTTAATGTGTACATATATTGTACATGTGTATTTAAATTAATTACATTCAGTAATTTACAGTTTTTAAATTTAATAAAATATTATTGAATTAACTGAAAGCAAAACTAACTTTTGCGGAATTCCTCGAAAAATGAAAATATTGACATTGCAATTATGTACATACATTGTTCTGCGTACATCTCTTGTTTTATTTATATTATGCTATAAAGTGCTCCGATTATACTGTGAACTAGACAGACTTCTATAACTGAGTCTATAAATAAAATGTGTTATAAATAAAATGTCATAGACTTAAAAAAATGTATATTTATCAAGATTGTTTTTTATTCTCTTTTTCGTATTTTCAGAACAAATTGTACTTTTGTCTTTATAAGCACAACTGTTAGCGTCGTGGAGGTACTATGTCTTTTTGCGGGACAAAGCGACGAACGTGACTCCCATAAAATTCATTGCACATGCACCAATGCAATGATACGCGAAACCGGAAACGCCTTCTGATGCATAGCGGTCGGACAATAGCCATGCGCGGAGATCACACGTTTGTCGCAAACGAACTCGCGGTGGAAATATAAAAAAATGATATAGAAACACATAATAAAAAGAAGAAGCGACAAACAGGGCATATCGAATTAAGGCGGATTCGCGGATCGCTGCGGCATCAAATAATAATTAATTAGACTTGATTTATACCATTTCCCAGTGTAACAACACTACTTGCCGTCGCAGAGTCCCATACAGTTTAACGGTTACTTGGTTACTTGGTTCTTTTATATTCTGTCGTCGGGAAATGTACTGCACGCAATGTACATTAAACATTCTCATTTTATTCGGAGGGAATTCTCCGGAGATTAAGAGAGTTTAAGAAGCAGCTTGGAAAGCAACAAGAAGACACTTTCTTCCTCGCCTCTGCGTTAAAGAAACCAAGTTAAAACTTAGCCAGTTAGCATCCGATAATGCTATTTACGCGCGTAATTGCCGCGAAACTTCGTAGCGTCCGTTGTTGATCGACTTACGTCGATTTGCACGCGCGCCCTTTAGAGCTTCTTTAAATATGCATTTGCTAGAGAATGCCGTGATTTGCGTACCGCACGTTAATTTGTCATTGTCACGACACTTTCCCAACTTGAGTGCGATGTACAATACTTAGATATAGTTCGCCAAAGTTATGTCCTGAGATCAACAGGCAATTAACGTCGATAATATGATGCTAAGTTTCACGTGTTTTTATCAATTTGAGATTATCAATCAATTTACGTTGGAATTTTTAATACATAACAATGCAAAGATCTTCTTTATCTTATTTTTCAGCTAATCAATATGTTACAGATTTTGTGCGCAGTTACTCTCTCTATTTAAAAATAAAATACGATACGTTATCGATACGTTTATCTTGCCATTAATTACAAACTGTCTTTCTTGAAATATTAAGTGCGCAAAAAGGTTTTATCGACATTCGAAGAGAAGGACAACTGTCAATTTTATGTTTGAGTGAGGCAATAGCGAATATGTCATTCCCCGTTATTGTTCTGTATTATCTCGCCGAATAACCGAAATCGATCGACGCAATATTGCCAAGGTACGTGATTTCACGATTATTATCGACGAGGGTGGCATTATTAATGCGGTTATTGCCATGGAGCATGTGTACGCTGTAATGTAAGCCAGTTACTGACATATTATTATTAGGCAGCTTTGATATGAGCATATAAATTGATGAAAAGGGCTTCATCACATCGCGAATGATAATAGGCATCAGCGCGAAGTCACAGAATTATTTATTTATAAATGTTTGATTAATTGCGATTTAGATATGTAATATTCCAATTTATAAATCCTTCTTTGACAAAGATAATTATATCATTGGGAACTACATCATTTTAATTGTAAAATAATTTGAAGAATATGAGACATGTCACATCATTTTGCACAAATAAAATTATATTTCTAAAAAGATTTTATGTGTCTTTTGACATAATTTTTGTACGTTTAATATAATTTAATTCCTTATACTAAAAGTAAAATTTCTGATATTTGATAACTATTTAATATTTGTGTGCATAATTATATGTTAGCCTATAAATTACAATTATTACTGTTATAATTATTACTGTATGTTATAATGTTAGTAATAATAACTATATGTATATTCTATCAATAATTATATAATTTACATCAAAAGATTATTAATTAGAGTTATTGTTACCAAACAAAACAGTTGCAATTATTTTATTTTAATTATGATTTGTATTTTTGATATATATTGATGGAATTATATATATAATCATTACTACATCATAGCGGTGATAATCATAATGGTAACATATAATTATAGTCACAAATATCAAAAACTTTTCTCTCAGTTTAGAAAGAGTGATATTTACAAAAATATAAGTAGATAAGTTACAAGAGACAAGTTAATTACTAGTAAAGAAAGAAGAGTTGTAATATGCAAATGAGCGAAGTCAACATCATAAAATGGAGATACATCTTCTTACATCCTTAATTACAACGTGCCACTTTTATATCTCTATTAATCATTCTTTGATATTTTCATAATATTTATTATACTATACAATATATAATATAGTTATTGTTCTCCGCTGTTTTGCTATATTTTATATATTCATATC